TGAGCGCGGGCTAGGATGGCATTGGCTCTGGGGAAATAGAATTATTCCTGTGCTGTGATTGGTTTAACATTTATTAATAGTACGAGATTATTAGTAGTATTAATGGTACGAGATTTGTGATCTGCCGGCCTCCCGGTAGTGAAAAATTTCTCCCCGTATTGGCAACTGGCAACTTGTCGATCTTATTTAATTTTCTCGAGAAATATCTACGCGCGGCTGCATAGGAGACAAATAAAAGGAAAAAATTTAGATTCTATAACGTTCGGAAAGTCGAAATTGAAGTATTTATTTGTTAAAACACGTCTTCATGTCTTATTCTCGGCAGTCCAAGATAGTGCCCAATTTAACATTAGACAAGGGGCGTCTTGTGCTGCGAGTGTATAGCTAGGAGTTTGAACGAGCCACTGATCTGACTGCTCTAGCTAATGAAAAGTGATGAATGATGGCTTTTCTCCTTCTAAACAGCCAATTCTCCCGCGAAATTAAGTGTTTAAATAAGAATTCTCCCTAGTATATTAGTTGCCAAGGTTGGCAGGTCTGCAGCAGTTTTATTTTTTCAATATTTACGCTCGCATTGTGCATCCAAAAACCAAATGCATGAATTTGTTTGTTAACTCCGCTGAGCTTATGTCAACTGGATTGTCATTCACGGCCTTGGTGCTCCTCAGTGTCGTGGCGTTTTTATTACATGAACAACTGATTGCCAATAATGAGTAACGGTGACCATATTTAAAATTTCATTTTCTTGTATGCCCAATAAATATATGTCATCGCGTCTCATTTTAATCACTCAAATAGGCAAGCAAAGGGTCGTATTATCGTGGATTGTGTGAATTTAAAACTTTGCCTTGCGTTTGATGAAGTCAAAAGCTTTTGCCTTTTGCATGCGTGGTAACAAAGATATTTTCTCGTCTTGAGTGTGTAAATATTATAACTCGACAGAGGAATTTTCGTCGATCAAATACGTTCAATTAAGGGACCGCTCATTATTTATTGTACAGGGGGGGACTGAGGAGAAACTCTACAGTTATAAAATTTTTTCGTTGCCCCCCTCTTAAGACAAGTAAAATTTTCAAAGCCCCCCCCCCCACAGGCAAAACAAGAACATAAATTTTGCCTCCCCCCCCTCTAGCTCTTTATCTTTATTTAAAGAAACAAAAACTCTAGCTGTTTATTTTAGAGAAAGAAAAATAGGTAATGGGGACCAATAGACATTCCCATTATAGACTAATTTTTTATCTTAGCAAAAAAAGTATATTCCCGGGAAGGGCATACTAAAGCCCCGTTTACACTACGCTCAATTTTTGGTACGGCACGGATAAAATTGGTACCCGTACCACTTTTTTGGTTCTTGGACTACCTATTTAGCTAAGCCCCGTTTACACTACGCTCAATTTTTGGTACCTTACCACTTTTTGGTTCTTGGACTACCTAAATAGGTAGTCCAAGAACAAAAAAAGTGGTACGGGTACCAATTTTATCTGTGCCGTATCAAAAATTGAGCGTAGTGTAAACGGGGCTTTAAATTACTAAAATTCCAAAGTTTGGTTGCAAAATGTTGTAAAATATGTAGAAAATATAGCCTTTCAAAGTTTGCAAATTTTGTATTCTTTTGTATAATTGCAATTTTCGCATGCAATACAAAAGTGTACAAAATTGCAAACTTTTCAAGGCTATATTTTCCGTATTTTGCAACAATTCGCAACCAAACTTTGCAATAATTTACTTATTTTAGTATGCTCTTTCTAGCTGTGGTGATTTATTTGCATCAAGGCCGGATTTTGAGGGAAGTGTGGAGAGGTGCGCACCTCCCCAGAGATCATTTTGCACCTCCCCTGAGAATTTTTCCACCTCTCTTGAAAGGTCATGCACTTCCCCTTGGGAAAGTTTCAATGATGGAACAAAGTGAAAATGTGATGGTTGCTTAAGATCTACATTTTGTGACGTAAGAAAGTTTTCTCTGTAAAATTGAAACAGTGATAGCCATGTCAAGCACCCTTATAATGCAATGTTTTGAAAGAAACAGTGTAGCAATTGTAATGAAGGGCAAGATTGGAGTCATACATTCATAATTCATTAATACACTGGTACATATGTACCCTACATGCATACCTCACCTCGTTGATACTGGCCTCTTCTACAATAAGCCCTAACTTTCCATGGTAGTTGTGAGCTAGACCGCTGCACCACCTCTCCTAAAATTTTTGTCCACCTCCCCCACTATTTTCACCCAAATCCGGCCTTGATTTGCATCTCTTTGCCTAGTTCTAAAATTAGTCTATAATGGGAATTGTCTATTTACATGAACATGAGAGACTTTTTATTTGACTTCCATTTATGAATATTAAAGTCTATAAATATTGTTATTTGTTGTTAAGTTGTTTTGTGATACATTTTTAAAACTACTGTTTTTTCAAACTGGTAAATATTTTCAAAGCCCCCCTTCTTTCGTCTCCCTGTATTTTTTCAAAGCCCCCCCTTTCAGGTTTTGAAAAATTTGAAGACCACCCCAGTTTCTCCTCAATCCCCCCCTGTACAATAAATAATGAGCGGTCCCTAAGGAATGAACATTTAAGATATTCCCCGCAAATGATGATTGATGACTGCTTATGTCCGGAATCTTTAACATACATTTCCAATTATTCGACATATATGTCAAATTACATGTAAAGGTAATTCACGCCATAGAAACTAAGTAATTTGCGCAATAAAATGTTTTTTATTAATTATCCAATATACAACTCGTCACATTGGTATGATAAGTAAATCAAACAAATGAATGTCTTAATGCAATTATTATTAAATGACATATGACACGAGATGACTTTTCACCACTAATAATATGCCGTATTACTTACACGATAGATTCTTTGCTGTATAATCTGTATGGAACTTGCAGAAAGTCTGTAAAAAAAGCTATGTTAATTAAAATAAGATAAATCTGGTTCTATTATAATAACGCTTATACTGTTCAGAAAATATGTGGCTCGGCATGTATAAGCCTACTTTTTCCCGCATTCTTGTGTGTATAATCATTGTCGTCCGGTGTGTTTGCTCATCTGAAGACAAGATATTTCCAACACAAGGTATGAAATCAACGTCCAAAGCCAATGCTACGAATTCAAAGGTAAGTGAGCTTTTGTGCTTATTTGCTGATACACTCATAGATTTTCTATTTGCCGTTTTGAAATGTATGCGTGCTCCTTGAGCCAAATAATGCATTTTATGGACATTAAGAACAGCAATGTTGGATTATAGGAAATAAATGCAGACCTCTCAACTCTCACGCATTCGGCGTGAGTCTCACGCAATTCGCTTCAGTCTCACGCTCTCACGCCAGACCTCTCAATTCTCACGCATTCGGCGTGAGTCTCACGCAATTCGCTTCAGTCTCACGCTCTCTCTCACGCCACGTTTAGTAAATCTAACGCATAAAAATTTTGGCATATCCGCATAGGCGTACCGGGCGAGTTTTTGGGCAGTCGGGCAATATTCGATCAACAGTCGGGCAATTTTGGGTTGCAATAAAAGAAATGTGACAAATTCTGTAAATTTTGTCTAAACTTAAGTCAATTTTTTGGCAAATTTTGTGATTTTTCGAAAATTTTGTGTATGTTCCGAAAAATATTGGTTGTCCGGAAAATTTTTTTGACCCCTAAAATGGTATACTGACCGAAATTTTCTTGTCAGGGGCCTATAAAGTTACATTTTTCGCAGCTGTTCCTGGTTAGAAATCGATCTATTTCTTTCATTGTATATATACGTCTATATGAATGACGAATGTATAACAGAATGTAACCGGTCTAGAGCAGTCTTGCATTGGGGAGGACTTGTGGGCAGGAAAATTTTGGCCATTTGTCCGCCCGCGCGCAGTTCTTCCGTCCTAATTTTTCCGCCCGCAAGTCCTCCCCACAAAAACGTCTTTACGCAGGCTATGCCCAATATTTTTTAAAAACTTAACAGCTTTATTTGCCACGAATGCAAATAGCCAGCACATAACTAGCACATAATAACACAAGAATAACAATATGTAAAAACGTGGTAAAAATGGTGAAGCACAAACGTGTGGTATTGTAAAAGAAGCCTTTATTATTGCATAAGTCTAGCTTATATACCGATTAGTGATTAACATATTTACAAAGGATTAACATACATATTATGCTAATATACTACATTCCTTCCCTTCTTTAGATACCTAGCTACATTTAAATTGTAATCTAACTATGTCAATTTTTTTTTAAATATTTGCCTTTATTAAAATGTTACTAATTGTATACTGTTCGAGATCCTAACTAACAATTATTGAGCAGAAACTATATTATGAGTTATTAAGCAGAAACTATAAGTTCATTTAGCAATCTATATCATATAGCTCTAACTATAAGTTCATTTAGCAACCTATAACATATAGTCTCTGTATATGGTGTCCTTGGTAGCCTTTCTAATTCGGCTAGAAGGTCTTAATGGGCGACACTCTTCATCCCTCCTTGACTACTGTACTTCTTTCCTTCCAGTTTCAGTTCCTTCCCGTTGATCATGTGACATCTCTCTAGTTATTTCATCATCCTCTGTATCCAAATCTCATTCCTTACAATCATTAATCTTCTTCATTTTCGATGCATCTCTAGCCATGGTTTGTCCAAATTCATTCCGGACAGTTATTATCGTACCTTTAGTCTTAATTACAACATACTTCATATTTCGATATGAAGTAGTGACTTATTTCTCCTCCTTTGGGGTACCAAAACAAAATCACCAATCTGTACCTTATGATCTTTCACATATCGCTTACTATCTGCATATCTCTTCATTACTTGTTTTTTTTTTCTGATCATACTCTCTTACTTCCTTATCATGATGATAAGGAGTGACGGGTTTCATGGTCGGGATCTTTGTCTTGAAATTTCTATTAGGGAGCATCAAATCTGCAGGTGGTTTCCCCCCGTCGTTTGATGTGGTGTTGCCCGATAATTGCGCAAGAAGACCTTTAATTCTTGTCTCTAGATTCCTTTTTTTGCCATTGCTGTTTGCACCGTCTTTGTTATATTCTTAATAAATCTTTCCGCCTGGCCATTCACTTTCGGTTCTGCTGGTGTAATATTCCTTACTTGAAATCCACATTCCGCCGCATAATCCCTGAATTCCTGTGATCGAAACAGTGGTCCATTATCTGCCATAATCTCCGAGGGGTACCCAAATTCGGAATAAATTCTTTCCAACTTGGGTATGACCGACCTTGCTGCCGTAGAATTCACCACTTCGATGAATATCCATCTTGCGTACTTGCAAGTAACTAGAAGCAGGTACTCTCCAGTCGGCAGTGGCCCGTAGAAATCAGCAGCTATCTTCTCCATCCTTTCATTGGGCAATGGGGTCATCTTTAATGGCATTCTGGCGGTCTGTGGAGTTGCAATTAGACATAGCCTGCATCCACGAATAATTCTTTCAGTCATATGTCCATTCCTGGAAACCACAGTCTACTTCTCAAGTAATTCTTAGTCTTGGTTATTCCTTGATGGCCCTCATGCGCAATCTCTACTACCTTCTCTTGGAGTTTCTCAGGCACTACCAGTCGCTCTGCCCTTAGTAACACACCGTCTATCACCGATAGCTCAGACATCACACTTGCATACGCTTTTACTCCCACCTCTTTACCAAGAGGTTCTTGCTGCTTAACTGAATACACAACTTTTTGCAAAATCTCATCTTCCTGTGTTTCACGTTTGACATCATCCAATGCCACTGTTCTCGTATTCTTTGACCCTATTACCATATTAACGTAATCTTCTATTTCCTGATGTTCCTCTGAAGCCAATGTCTCAGGATGCCTGGAACTCCAGTCAGCTGGATTAGACTTACCCGGTCGATACCTGACTACAAAATCAAATCCCATTAGTGTCACTCGCATTCTTTCTATTCGAAGTGGCGCATTCTTGAGTGGCTTATTTAATAAACTAACCAAGAGTTGATGATCCGTTATAAGGTCGAATCTGCCTCCTATAAGATACTGTTGATTTTTTTCAACTGCCCAGGTCGCTGCCAAACACTCCCGCTCTATCTGTGAATAACGTTTTTCTACTTCAGTACATGCCCTGCTGGTGTACGCTCCTGGACGAAATTTCTTCACCACAGGATCTTTCTGTTATAGAATTGCTCCAATTCCATTCTGCGACCCATCGACAACTAATTAAGTCTCTCGACCAGGCACGAAATATGCTAAGGTTGTCTCACTAGAAAGGTGTTCTTTTAATTCCTCAAACGCTTTTTGATGCTTGTCAGTCCATCAGTATTCCTTCTCGACCAGCAAATCTCTCAACCTCGCCGTCTTTTCTGAATAATGGGGAATGAATGGAGAGCTGTAGCCTGCCATCCCTAGAAATGACCTCAATTCGCTGACGTTTGCTGGCGGTTCAGCATTCTTCAAAGTCTCAACTTTCCTCGGGTCGGGCTTCATCCCATTTCCCGAGAATACATATCCGTAATAAGTTACTTCAGGTAGGTTGAACTCACATTTCTCAGGACCCAATCTTATGTCTCTTTCTCTACATCTCTTTAACGTCTCTTCTACATTATGATCATGCTCTTCTTCATGCTTGCCATATACCAATATGTCATCACTTATATTCAATACTCCCTCTAGTCCTTCCAAGGCTTCGCTAATTTCCTTCTGGAATGTTTCAGCAGCCGATTTTGTACCATAATTCATACGCGTAAACCGTCGAGGTCCACGTGGGGTATGATGCGATGTGATATCTCTACTATCCGGATTTAGGACCATGTTTAAATATCCTCTGTGAATATCAAGCTTCGTGAACCTAGTAGCACCAGCCTTCTGCAACTTACGTCGAACTTCTAATATAGTCGTGATGTGGCACTTCGTTGTACGGATTGCCTTGTTCGGACATCTCATGTCGACGCTAGGTCTCACTTCCATGTCTTTAATATCCTGTCCGGGCTTAAACTTCTTGGGTGTCACGACCAAATTGGACAGCCATGTCGTCGGCTGGTCTTCTGGAATTTTCTCAATTATGGGCCCTGTTTCTGTTGCATTGCTGTCCTCCCATTTATCCAATTCTTTGATGAGTTTGTCTTCCAGATGTATTGGCGGTAAGCGATATGGCTGTGCTACTGGTCTCACTGCTGGATCAACTTGTATCTTAACACATTTTATCTTCCCACGTTTATCTTTTAGTGTACCGATACCACTAAACCGGTCCTCGTACTCCTCAAGCACATCTTGAAGCTTTGGACTCCGTCCCTTCTTCGTTTGCGCTATGCTATATACCGCCCACTCAGCTATATGAAATGTTATGATCCCTAGCTTCTCAGCTACACTTTACTCAAGAACATCTTTTTTGTCCTTCTGTAGTATCAACCACATAAACTATTTCTTCTATCTGTCTATCATTATATTCGATCTTTGCTCTAAATTTACCCAGTAGATTTAGTGGATTATCAAAGCCATACGGTGTAAGTTTTACACCTGTTCTATTAAGGGAAATATCTTGATTCTTGTTAAAATCTAAGTATGTTTGTTTGGTCATAATCACGCTACTAGAACCAGTATCGATACTAAAGTCAACACGTTTCTCTTCGACCTTAACAATTACTCTCTCATGCGTGCGAGAGCCTATTTCATATACATGCCCGACAGTTCCTTCATCACTGTCCGACGACTCTGAACTCTGAAGATTCACACAACCGCCATGTTGCTTTTACAGTTTTCTTCGAATCCTTAAATTTTTCTTCCTTACAACATCGAGCAAAATGATTTTTCTGCACACACTTACGACATTCTTTTCCCCATGCTGGACAACTTGTTGGTCCCTTGGGACGTGGCCAATCAAACCCACAAAATTTACATTTCCTATTAGTATCAAACATTGCCTTTTGATTCTTTTCTAAGTCAAACTTAGCGATGTATTTTCCATAACGACTCTTAACCGTGAAAGCCGGTTCCGATTTAAAAGTTATTTCCCGCCCCGCAGTGTCTGTATTACCAATCATTTCTCTGTCATGTTGTTTCATACTTTCACGACTACGGCCTTTAGCTAATACATCGTCAAGGTTGGGTACCCCGCTTCGCGATAAACAATATTCACGAATGTTAACGCTAGTTGTACCTCTAGTTATAGTCACACCAATCATTAAATCATTTAAGCTATACTTATCTTTCATAGTATCCCAATTGATTCTTTGATGTTTCTTTCTAACTCTCATCACAAAATCATCGATTCCTTCGCGTTCGTCTTGCTTCATATCCATCGCTTGTGATATTAAGAAAACCAGCGGCTCATCTCGCAATAGATCGATCTTGCTTAAGTTCGTTTACCAAATCAACGTAACCAGTCCCTGTATCACTCAATGTGCCAACTTTGTTTCTTACTTCAGCTCCTGCGACAGCCAACAGTGCTTTACGCTTTTTAACTCCATCATCTTTCTCCGGCCAGTCTATTAGCTCGAATTTCGCTTCAACATCCTCTAGCCATTCAAGAAATCTAGGACCTCTATCTTCTGCCGGCAACCATTGGAAAGGGCTTATCCAATTTGCCGTAAATAAACTCTCCATGCATGTGGATTGTCGTCGCCATTGTAAAAGAAGCCTTGCATAAGTCTAGCTTATATACCGATTAGTAATTAACATATTTACAAAGGATTAACATACATATTATGCTAATATACTACAAAACGGACTATAGGTCCCATGCATAGTGCTCACCATTAATTAGTCAAGCCAGTACAGACAAAACAACACATTAATATCGAATAGAAAAAAAGATGGGAAAGGAAAGCAAGCAGTAAGGTAGATTAAGTGAGAGGAGAGAAGAACGACTGATTTGAAAGATATTATTCAGTCGTGATCAACGAGTGTGAGCTACACCTGTAGGTAAGTCAGGAGTTGCAGCAACCTCGTTCCCAGGGCTTTTCCCTTTTTGTCACGGCACTGCCTCTTTAAATAAGGAAGCGTATATACTGTTTTTTGAATACACTATCACTGGTTTTAATAAACTATTAGCATACAATAGCATACAGTAAAACCAGCGAAAATGACAAAAAGGGAAAAGCCCTGGGAACGAGGTTGGAGTTGCAGTAAAATATGCATAATACTTAATTTAACCAAGATTTTCGCTGGTTTTACTGTATGCTAGTAGTTTATTAAAACCAGTGATAGTGTATTCTAACAGTATATGCGCTTCCTTATTTGAAGAAGAGTACTGCAGACTGGTAGCAGAGCCACACACAGGGCATTTTTTAACTATAACTACTGGGGCATTTGCCCCAGTAGGCCCTTTGCTTGCCCCAGTAGTGAAGCATGATTTTCTGATGAGCTGGGCCCTTTTGATCATTATACACAGCCAGAAATCTCACAGGCCTGTCGCAAGCTGTTGATTTTACTGGCTTGCGGCAAGTTGTCAACAAGTCGCGACAGGTCTGTTGGTTTCGTCAGGCGGTAACAGGCTTGCGGTAACAGGTCTGTCGCAAGCTGTTGACAACAGAGCCGTAGCGACTTGTTGAAACAACCCGCTACAAACCTGTTACTAACAAGAGATAACAGGTTTGATAGAACAACTTGCAGCAAGTCTGTTGAAATCAACAGGTCTGTTCCAACCTGTTCCAACAGACCTGTCGCGAGTTGTTTTTGTCAAGTCTGCAGCACAGAGTAAGGATATACAGAGGCGGAACTCGAGGCAAAGTGTTCAGGAAAAAGATAGGGAAATGCAAAATTTTGGCAGTAGAACGGCGATTTTAAGCGCAGAAACCGATCAATCTTCATTTTGTGCACGAATTTTGCAAATAAATGGCACACTGCGTCTTCTTAGCAAAAGGGAATTGAATGAATACCATTTTTAACGGCGAAAATGAGAAAAGACACCGAAGGCGTGAGAATTTCTGGCAATCTGAAGATTCGATTCTGTAGATCTGAACTCCAGCTGGAGAATATATTTGTGAAATTAGTTGCACAGAAAGTATTAAAAACATAGGTAGTTTAACTTTTAATTTTTGCTCACAAATCCCAAAGCTACATGCATGGAACCTGATGGATGTGTTTCAAATAAGCACCTATGCTTTCTTATTAATGTAAAAGACAGGAAAGCAATACGTTTGGCCCGCATTAATTTTATAGCGAAATGGGAATCTGCTTCTTGGCAGAACATCACAAGCACCGAGATTGTATATTGTATTTACCATTTTTTTCTTTGTATTTAGCCTATAAACGTATATCTTTTTACATAAAAATAACCACTTACCATTTATCTTTCAAATTTGAGTCCCAAAATGAAGATCGGTTGAGCAACTTCGCAAAAATATTTATTTTTCTACTTTCGAACGGTGTTTTTCCTATGCTTTTGACTGAAAACACGACGAATGACACTTGCCAGAGCAATTTGCGTGGCGTGTGGAAATGACGTGGCACGGGGACACAAAGAACAAAGGAATCGCCGCGAGTTCCGCCTCTGTATACTCTGTGATCATACGCCAATACGCCATGACACATTTCCTGTATGCCCAAATATAGACTGTCGCTAAAGCTTGACGACGGACGGCGGAAGACGGACTGCGGACTTGCTGCAAGACATTTGCAGACTTGCTGCAAGTTAATAACAAATCCATTTGACTTGTTCACAGCTATACAGACTTTGTTTATTGTTTGGCTAATTCGGCCGTGAAAATCAGTTTCCTCAATTATTATCGCTCTATACATGAATATTTAACAATGGATATGTTTGTATTTTAAATCAAAAGGATTATTTTGCAGTCAGCAGTCTATACAGCTATTTCGGATGAATAAAATTAGATGAGTTGAAATCGACAGCTGTAGAAAAATTCTCGCAAGTCGTAAAAATTTTATAAAAATGAAAATTTAGGAACAACTTGCTGACGTGTGCTATCGCGAGATTGTCTATTTGGCGTGGGTGGATGGGTCGTGCGTCGTGGGTCGTGCGTCGTGGGTCGTGCGTCAGTAAATCGCAAAAAAAATTTAAAACCGAACTATACCACTGAACTGCCAAAATTTTGCACAAATTTTTTTAGCTATGCCACATCTCTATTAACTATGGCCACATTGACAAAAATGCTGGTAGATTCGGTGGTTGATTACAGTAATTTAACTTGTAAAAGACATCGGTGACCTCCAAATTTAGGCTGTTGCGGCATATCGATATACCGATAATTATCGGGTTTTTTATAAATACCAGGGCCGTAGCAACCGGGGGGGCTGCAGCCCCCCCCCCAATAATTTGCTAATAATCATTCTTTTTTCAAAATCATGCAAACTTTATCATTTAATCTG